GTTTGAATGGCAAGGTCAGCAGTTCAAGCTCACCAGCTGCTCCTTGCAAACCCTATACAGGGTTCCAGGCTATTTTCTGTTGCCCCTTTTATGATTCTGATTGATCATTTCTTGACTTTTCTGAAAATATCCTATACTATCAAGAAGGAATGTCAGACTGCACAGATGTTTGAACTGCAAGGTTGGTGGTTCAAGCTCACCAGCTGCTCCTTGGAAACCCTATAGAGGGTCGCTGTGGGTTGAAATTAACTCAACAGCACTTAGCAACAACAACAAACCAATTTTGTTTAATTGGTTTTTTTTTTTTTAATAATTCCAAGCAATGTCAGTACGCCAGTATTCTCATTCACACCCAGAACTAGGTCTCCAGAAACAGTTTAATTGCTTCTGCTGTAGGTGACAGGAGTGCTAGACTGTGGTTACCCTCATGGGAACCTAGTCCCCTGAGTGCTTGATGTCTATAAACACCCTCTGGCTCCTAGTTACTGGCCTCTATCATTCTAAAATGACTCCATTTGGTGTCCTTCTAGAGGTACCAGCCTGGGTTCCAAAGGTCCTTTGTTATTCACTTATTGATCTTATTGCAAAAGGCTGTCTGTTTTCTTAAGTGGCCTCACTGCACAGGGTACTCATCACTGATACTACAACAATGATCATGGATAAAAGCTCAAGCTAAACCTGATGGCCCCTTCCTAAAACTGTTCAGCACTTTGCAGAGTGCATTCAGAGAGTCTCTTCTATTTATTCTCAAGCAGAAGCGCTGTGTGACAGGTTGAAGAATACTTTACGATCTCCACCTAGTAGTCACCTCGCATTTATATCTTCTCTCTGCCTCAAGAGAATGTCAATCTTTGAAGTTAAGAAAAACCTTAAGAACTTCAGTAGAATTCTTTGTTTTGGGGTACCACTTTCAATGTAAAGATCACAAGTGAAGATGTGTCATCTTCTCTGATAAGCAAGGTAAGTCTAGTCTATAGCTCAGGTACATGGTTTGTCTAGATTGTGGTAATAGAAGATTTTTTCCTATGGATTATTCAGAATTTGGGGCTCTGGTGTGATGATGCTTTAGGATAAGCACCTGACTGCTCACTGCAGTGATTCAAACCCACCAGCTACTCCTTGGAAACCCTATACAGGGTCACTAGGACTTGGGACAGACTTGATGACATGTAACGACAGCAGCATTTAGAGTTCAGCACCCAAGGTTTTAATAATCTCAATCTTTCATACTGATCCACTGGAGTGCAAATTTCACATTCTCCTCTGTCATGTCAGTTCCAATTCATGGCGACCCTGTATATGATTTCCAAGGAGTGGCTGGTGAGTTTGAACTGCTGACCTTGTGGTCCAGTGCTTTATCCCGCAACGCTACACAAGGACTCCCACCTCTGTTAATTAGGGAAAAGGTGATTCTGCTGGAATAATGGGAGAGGGATTTCAATACTAGAAAACCTTGGTAGGGTCCCAGCAATTCTATTAATTTCCTATGAATTTGAAAACCTGGATTAATTCCCTCAATAAATATCTATCAAGAATCCACCGTGTGGTAGAAATTGTTCTAACAATTTAGAGCCTCTAGAGTCACACCTCTTCATTAGACAAAGTATCTTCCCTTTTACAATTTGCACTCCAATAAGGTAGACAATATGCAAATAAAATTCTTCCTTTGATTATTTCCCACTGTCATGCGCTAGACTGCAAGATCAATTTGAACTCCAAGGTCAGCAATTCAAGTTCACCAGCCACTCCTCGGAAACCTTATGTAGGGTTATGAGTCGGAACCAACTCCACAGCACTTAACAACCACCCTTATGTTAATTTCTGCTTTGCTTACTTCACAAAGTTGTTTAGAAGAGCACGTGGAATAATGACATGAATGTTAATTATGCACATGAAAAATGCTACTCCCATAAAAATAGGAAATATGGAAAAAAATAAATCTCCATTATGAAATTAATAAAATGTGTTGAAATGCTGGAGTATGAGTTGCACCATTGTTATTGTTTTGAAGCACCTTTGAGTTGGTTCTGACTCCTAACCACCCGGGCTAGGGTTTCCGAGGACTGGCTGTGGGCTTAACTCAATGTCCTTGTGGTTCAAGCTGACCATGTGGTCCTGCAGCGCCACATCAGGATTACAGAGCACGAAAATGGGAGTGCAGAATTGTCCATTCCAGTTCTAATTCTAATCTTAGAGGACTTTTGATACAGGACAACTGTATTTATTTTACAATGGATGGATTATGACTTTTTTTAAAGTTTTATTGTCAATTGAATGAAAGTTTACAGACAGATCATCAAAACATTAAACTGATGTTTTGCATTCAAAAAATCATATACTTTGTTTCATTATAATGATTATAATCCTCTTCATGTACCATTAATTAACAGCATTTCTCTCTATTCATTTTAGATCCTTTTTAAAAAAAACAAACAAAAAAACACTCATGCATATATAATAATTTACACCACTAAAAGGCACATTCTGAAAGCCTGCCTTCTGGCCTCCAGTTCTCAGTCCCTCTCTTTCCATGAATCTAGAGTCCTCAGCTGCTCCCTCTCTCCATGTCCTCATCTCTGCCTCCATCTCTAGTAACGCTGCTTCTCTGGATAGGGTCATGCATTCTGCTTGTGCTCTTCTCCCTTGATGATACTAAGGTCCTCTGTTTCTGGACTGTAAGATTAACTACTAAAACTTCTACCTTTATAATTGTGACAGTCGCAATTAGTCATGATAACAGTTACTCACTATTGAATCTTAAGAGTCTTATCTCCATCTCTTTGAGTTATGACATTTTGCTACAGTGTATTGGAGTCCTTAAATTCTCCACGGAATGAATAAAACAACTGTTTCCTAATAGGGTGAATAACTATATTTCATTATAATAATCTGCTTTCTGATCCACTTCTCTCCACTGTCACCCTAGCATATTGTTAAATTAACAAACAGTACAATTGTATTTATCTCACCATTTTAATTCCCTGTGCTTCAGACACTGATTAAATGTTTGTTGCAGCAATGCATGAACAAGGAAATTAATGAATAAGGGAACATGATCCTGTTTACAGGGCACATTATGAAACACATAGTTACCAAAATGGATCTCACGTGTACCTTTTATAGTTTTTGAACATCATTTATAAATGTCACTTGCATTGTGATCTAGCTCCCACATGCACACAGACACAGCAGAAACTATACTTTTCATGGAGTCCTGCTTACTCTTTCACTTATAATGCACCTTTATTTCTCTTTGATCTTAAATGAGCTAATGTATGTAGAACACTCAGAAGAACATCTGTACATATGTTGGGAGTTAAAACGAATAATGTAAATGGTATTTGATTTAATTTGATTTCATGTTTATTTCATTTAGTCCTGATCCACTATTTAATTTTATCACCTATTAATGGATCATGGAGTCCTGGTGTGGCGCTGGTGTGTGCGCCAGACTGCAAAGCCATTTGAACTGCAAGGTCTGCGGTTCAAGCTCACCAGCTGAAGAGTAAACACAGTCCACCAGAAAGAGGTTACTGAGTAAGAAGTACATGGGAGTGTGGAGACTAGAGCTCACCAGCTGCTCCTAGGAAACCCTATACAGGGTCGCTATGGGTTGGAACCGACTCAACGGCACTTAACAACAACGACAATGGACCATGATCTATCAATTGCAAAATGATGTTCTAGAACAATTTGAAGAATAGTCTATAAAATCCAGTTGACTCAAAACATACTGCTGCACATAATAACCACAGCATTTATTTAATTATAGTGATACCTTTGACTTATTAAGTATTCACTCTGCATTAGGCACTATTCTGAGTATTTTAAAAATACCCGCTCATGAAATTCTTCAACTAGCCTTATTTTCTCTGTGTTAAACTGAGGCACAGAAAGCAGAAATATCTTGTCCAAGGCTATCCAGCTACTCTTGTAAAATCAGAATTGGATTACAGCCAGGTTATCCCCAGATAATCTCATACTTCATAGTATTTCACATCTAACATGTTGTTGTTACTGTTGAGTGCCATCAAGTTGGTTCTGGCTCATAGCAACCCTGTATAGGGTTTCCAAGGAACAGTTGGTGAGTTTGAACAACCAACCTTGGTTGGTGTTCAAAATGACCTTGCAGTCCAGCGCATTACCCGCAGTATCACCCCAGGACTCCATCTAGCATGGTAGTGATGGATAACAGTTTTCAGGTAAGACAGACTCGGCATGAATTGTACTGCTCATCAAGTGCATAAAACTAAAAGATTTTTGAAATTTTCTAAGTCTATATTTCCTTATAGACTTAGCTCTGGTAGCTTAATGGTTACGAATCAGCCTGTGAACCGCAAGGTCAACAGTTTGAAACTACCAGCGGTTCCGCGGGAGAAAGATGAGGCTTTCTGCTCCAGTAAAGATTTACAGCCTCGGAAACCCTGTGCAGGGTCGCTATGAGTCGGAACCGACTCCACGGCACTTAACAACAACAACAATATTTCCTTAAATAATAATTACTTAATAGCAAGAGTGCAAAGATTAAAAGAGGTAATATTTATAACGCATTTCTCAGCCTGCCTGTCAGATAATGAGTGCTCCATTAACATGAAGGTTATCTGACTCAGGAATGACAATGATAAAGGTCAGAATAATGAAGGAAGCAGTAACTTCTAACATGGAAATAAACAATACACATTTTAAAGATAACTAAATGTTCATTCAGAATATCTGAAAGAGGTCAGGAAGTAATGAATAATGTTAGTCCTCCTGCAGATGAGAAGGTAGAGGTGAAGAACGTGGTAGTCTCAGGGTTATAGGAACCCCTATGTGTGTAAGGGTTATTGATAATGGTACCATCGCTGTCTAAGAACGATTGATATGATAATGCTATCATGGTGCGCTGTGTTCATTTTAGCAGGGAGATATGAGTGTGCTCCTAGCAATTTTCCTTGCATAAGTAACTAATGCATTTTGTTTTGTTTTGACAGGTTAAATGCAATTTTAAAATTGCATCTATGGAGAACAGCACTGAAGTGAATGAGTTTAGGCTCATGGGGCTGACTGACACCCCTGAGCTGCAAATCCTCCTCTTTGTAACATTTACCCTCATTTATCTCCTCACTCTTATTGGAAATGTTGGAATGATTGTGTTGATTGTGTCAGACTCTACTCTCCACACGCCCATGTACTTCTTCCTGAGTAACCTCTCTCTGGTGGACTGTGTTTACTCTTCAGCTGTTACTCCCAAGGTGATAGCTGGGTTCCTCTCAGGAGACAAGGTCATCTCCTATGGGGGATGTGTTGCTCAGATGTTCTTCTTTATAGCTTTTGCCAGTGTCGATTGTTTCCTACTTGCTGTCATGGCATATGACCGCCATGCAGCTGTGTGTAAGCCCTTACATTATACCACTACCATGACTACCACCGTGTGTGCACAAATGGCAATAGGATGCTATGCCTGGGGCTTTGCTGAATCTGCCATCCACACTGGCTTCACCTTCCACCTCTCGTTTTGTGGTTCCAATGTCGTCCATCACTTTTTCTGTGACATCCCTCCAATCCTGGCTCTCTCTTGCTCTGATATCTACATTAATGAGATTGTGCTCTTCGTCTTAGCATCTTTCAATGTTTCTTTTGCTCTTTTAGTCATATTGTCATCCTACCTGTTCATATTCATCGCCATCCTGAGGATGCGCTCTTCAGAGGGTCGGAAGAAAGCCTTCTCCACTTGTGCTTCACACCTTACTGCTGTGACCATATTCTATGGAACTGTCATCTTTATGTATTTACAACCTAGCTCTAGTCATTCTATGGACAGTGATCAAATGGCATCTGTGTTTTATACAATAATAGTTCCCATGTTGAACCCTATTGTCTATAGTCTAAGGAATAAAGAGGTTAGTAATGCTTTCAAAAAAGCCATAGAGAAGATGAAGACTTTGCTCAACATATCAAATTAATTAGGGATCTGAAGCAATTTGTTAAGATTACAGTTATCTGTTGCTCTCTAACAAACTAGCCCCAAACTTACAAATCAGCAAACAAGAAACAAACAGCAAATTAGAGTGAATTCCAAATCATGACAACGCCACGCATGTCAGAGTAGAACTCTGTACCATAGGATTTTGTTTTTTCTGTAGAGTGGAAGACATTTTGTTAAACTTTTTATTGAATGGAGGTTTACAGAGCAGATGATTAGTTTTACATTCAACAAATCATACATGTAATTTCATTTCAATCCCTTCCATGTAACATCAATTACCCTTCCTCCTCCCTGTGATTGTTTGTATTCTGCCCTCCTTCCCAACCCTTCTGAACTTTGTCCTTAAGTAAATACTGCCTTTTGATCTTGAATAGCTGACCTTCCATGGTGAGCAGAACTTACTAGTGTTGGCCTCTTGTATACCTATATATTGTTTGGCTGAAAATTGAGCCAGGAAGGGTGACTGAAGGCCATAGCTGTGGGTACCTTCAGTCTCTTCCTGACCAGTAAGTCCAGTCCTTTTTATAACTTTGAGTTTTGTGCCACCTTGTTTCCACTTTCTCAAGGACCCTTTCAGAGGAGTTGGTATTGGTAACCAGGCATCATCTAGTTCTCTAGTCTCAGGGTTGTGAAGACTGATGGTCACATGTTCTATTTGTCCAAGAGACTAATTGATTCGAAGTTATCTTCCATTTTGATCAGTCTTCTTTCCTCCACACAAGAAGAACCCTTTAGTTGCACCTTGGATAGCTGGCTCCTCATAAACTGGACTGCAAAGCCACAAGGCTGGTGGTTCAAGCTCACCAGCCACACCCAGGAAACCCTATACAGGGTCACTATGAGTCAGAACTGACTCAACAACACTTAACGACAACATAGGGTTTCTGAGGTTCTAAATCTGTACAGGAGCAGAAAGTATCATCTTTTTGTTGCAGAGTCCCTGGTGGACTTGAACTACTGACCTTGTGGTTACCAGCCCAACACATCACCCACTACACCAGGAGCTCCTAAGATCCCAGTGGTTGTTGTTGTTGTTGTTAAGTGCCATCGAGTTATTCCTGACCCATAGTGAACCTGTATAAAGTTTCCAAGGAGTGGCTGGTGAGCTTAAACTGCCAACTTTGTGCTTCTAACTGACTTTGCAGTCCAGTGCATTAGTTCCCAGCACCATCCCAGTACTCACAGTAGCTACTCACAAGAGTAAGATGTAGAACATTTTCTGTGTGGAGTATGTCACACCAACCGCCCACGGTGTCCCCTGAGATCGTGGTCTGGAGTCCCCAGGTCCAGCAACTCATTTTCTCAAGGGCTTTGGTAATGTCTAAAAAACTTTTCCTAACTTTGCCCACTCTGGTGCCATTGACTGCATTTTTAGAATTAGCTCGCTAGGCCTTCGTGCTGAGGCATCTTTGGGTGGACTCAAATTTCTACCCAAAGATAGAAACATTTTGGTTAGAACCAAGTGCATTAACTGTATGCACTTGCTACCCTAAACCTCTCATATCTGTGGTACATACAGTGCATACCTACATTTTTCACCTCTGGGTTTAGTGGGTAGCTGGTACCCCACTTTTAGTGGGCACTTCCATAAATCACTTGTATAACTGTGTGAACCAGAAGAAATGGGCCTCATCCCTTCATCCCCAGGATCAGAAACTCTGGGGATATATGGGTCCTACTAATTGTATCACAGAACAAGCTCAGGGAGCCTAGTGATTATGAGTCAGGCTGCTAACCTCAAGGCCAGCAGTTGAAACTACCACCCATTCCACAGAAGAAAGATGAGACTTTTTGTTCCTGTAAAGATTTGCAGCATCAGCAACCCTGTACAGGGTCGCTATGAGTCAGTTCTGACTCCACAGCACACCACCACCACCAACTGTATGACAACCCATATTGCCTCAGATTTGTTTTCCTCATTTCACTCAAAAAACAATTTCGTCTTGAAGGGGTTACAACAATAGCTTATTATTTCTCACAATTCTACAGTTAACAGGACATTTCCTTTGATGTTTTCATGTAGCTTCACTTGGGAATTTTACCAGACTTTTGTAGAATAAATGATCCAACCCTTCTTAAATTTATCCAAAGTATTGAAGAGGAAATAATACTTCCTAATTCTTTCTGTGAAGCTGGCATCACCCTGATACCAAAGTCAGACAAAGACATCACAAGCAAAGAAAACTAGATACCAATATCCCTATGAATATAGGTGAAAAAATTCTCAACAAAACACTATCAAACCAAATCCCAAAGCTAGTGGGAGGATTATAAAACATGATACAGCAGGGATTCTGTGGAGAAAGTATAATTGTTACAATCATACTTGCTGAAACAGTTGAATCTCCACCTTCAAAAAAACAAATCTTGAGCTGTAACTCAGAGCCTATGAAAATACATGGTAGACCTAAGTGTAAAATGAAAAGTATACATTTGATAATACATTGTAAAAAATCTTAATGATATTGTGTTAGTAAAACATTTCTTGGGTATGAAAGAAGAGTATAATCCATCAAAGAAAATATTTATAAGTGACCTTCACCAATTATTGTTTGACAGATATTGAGAGAAAGAAAAACAAAACAACAAAACACAGGAGAAAATATTTTCAAGTCAGTCATCTGGTAAAGCACATGTGTCCAAAATACATATATGAAGAAAATAAATAACAAAAAACCTTTCAAAACTCAGTAAGAAAACAAATAACCCTATTGAAATAATGAAGATGAATGTTTTGAACAGACACTTCATTAATGAAGATAAGAGAAAGTAAGTAAAAACATCATTGTTGTTGTTGTTAAGTGCTGTAGAGTCAATTCCGACCTATAGTGACCCAGTATAGGGTTTCCGAGGAGCAGCTGGAGAACTTCAACTGCCTACATTGTAGTTCAAAAGGTTTTGCAGTCTGATGCATTAACCCACAGCACCACACCAGGACTCCATTCAGTAATGTAAGGCACATATTATTGCTACACCCAACGAAGTGGATGAATTTCATAAATGTATCATGCTATGTGAAAAACTGAGCAGCTATGTTGAAAGGACATAACCCTAATACATATCTTTCTGATTTTAAACCATTCAGTATTCGCTTGTTCTGTTCAAACATCTGTCCCTTGGTCTATATAAGGTTCCTCATGAATACAATGAAGTGTTATGGAATATCCATTTTTCATAATATTGTCCATACTTTGTTATAATCCACACTGTCGAATGCATTAGCATAGTCAGTAAAGCACAAGCAAACATCTTTCTGGTAGCCTCTGTTTTCAGTCAAGAACCATCTGGTGTTAGCAATCATATTCCTCATTCCACATCCTCTTCGGAATCTAGCATGAATTTCTGGCAGCTCCCTGTCTATGTACAGCTACAACTGTATTTGAATTACTATCAGTAAAACTGTCTTTGTATTATTATCAGTAAAACTTTACTTTTGTGGGATATTAATGATATTGTTCAATGATTGCTGTACTCCACAGGGTCACCTGGAATTGGTACAAATATGGATCTCTTCCAATCAGTTAGCCAGGTAGCTGTCTTTCAAATTTGTTGAAACATTTTAATTGATATTCTGTCAATTTCTGGAAACTTGTTTTGTTTTGTTTTTTTAATCAATGCCTTCGGTGTAGCTTGGACTTCTTCCTTCAATACCATCAGTTCTTGATCATATGGTACTTCTTGAAAAGGTTTAGCAACACCAGTTCTTTTTAGTACTGGGACTCTATGTATTCTTTTCATCTTCTTTTGACTTTTCCTATGTCATTCAATATATTGCCAATGGAATCTGCAAGTTGAGTCTTGAATTTTTTTCTTTAGTTCTTTTAATTTGAGAAAGCTGCGCATGTATTTTCATTTTCATTTTTTAGCTCCAGGTAATTGCAGTTTTCAGTATAACACTTTGTCTCTCTGTATGCTAAGCAAATAATCTGAGAAACTAGATTATATTAAAAGAAAGGTGGCATCAAACTGGAGGAACATGCGTATGACAAACTTGTTTGCTTGAAACAAAAAGAACTTGAAATACTTACTGATGAAGATCAAAGACTACAGCCTTCAGTAAGGATTGTACAATATAAATAAAATGAAAATCTTCACCACTTGGATTAATAAATAACAACATAATAATTGGAGAAAAGATTGAAATTGTCAGACTTCATTTTGCTTGGATCCACAATCAATTCTAATGGAAGCAGCAATCAAATCAAATGATGTACTGCATTTGGTCTCTTTAAAGTGTTCAAGAGCTAAGATGTGATTTTGAGGATTAAGGTGTGCCTAACAAACAGATGGATGTCAGAAGAGACACTGAAACTTGTTCTCCAGCATAAAGATGCTAAAGCAAATGGAAGAAATGAGGAGGTACAAGAACTGATCAGAAAATTTCAAACATCAGTTTGAGAAGATAAAGCCAAATATTACAACAAAATGTGCAAAGATCTGGAATCAGAACACCAAAAAGGAAGAACACACTCAGCATTTCTCAAGCTGGGAGAACTTAAGAAAAAATTCAAGCCTCAACTTTCGTTATTGAAGGATTCTCTGGGCAAATTACTGAATGATGCAGAATACATCAAGAGAAGATGGAAGGAATACACAGAGTCACTATACCAAAAGGAAGTGGGTGATGTTCAACCATTTCAAGAGATAGCATATGATCAAGAGCCAATGATAATACAGAAAGAAGAGTTCAAAGTGCATTGAAGAAATTGGCAAAGAAAAAGGCACCAGGAATTGATGGAATAAAAATTGAAATCTTTCAAGAAAGTGAGGTGGCACTGAAGGCACTCACTCACCTATGCCAAGAAATTTGGA